TGTTTGTATAGTTTGAAAGAGCTGCTCACAGTGTAAGTTTTTTTTTCTCTCTTCTTCTTCTTCTTCTTCTTTTCATTTTCTTATTCTCATTCTTATTCTGTAACTTTACAGAATACTTTAAGAATGGACACACTCTCTACCTGAACTCCGGCCTGAGTTCATCCAGGAACCACTATGGGCAGAGAGTGATCACTCGTGAGGCAGATCTTGTCACCGCACACGAGTTTGGACACAACTGGGGCTCAGAGCATGACCCAGACCGACCAGAGTGCAGCCCCAGTGCCAGTCAAGGAGGATCATATCTCATGTACACATATTCTGTGTCTGGTTATGACATTAACAACAAGGTAGGCTAACAGGGTAACTGAAATGAATATGTGAATAAGGAAGTTTCATATGAATGCATGTACATTGCAAATTAAGTAAACACACTTGTATTTGGCAGTGTAGCACAGTTTTTGATACAGTTTTCTCAAAAGAAATGTATATATATGATTATCACTGTTTGTTATAACAAGAATGAAGCCAATGGATATATTGTGACACTAGTTGCCTTAACTACACTAATGTGTTCCAACTTCTGATCTGTATATAAGCTCTTCTCTAAAGTATTGGTATTTCTTTGCTTGTATTATATAATATCATTAGATATGCAAACCAACATAATATCTGAATGTGTAATATTTATGACACTTACTCTATAAGTACTGTGCATTAGGAGACAAATGACACGTCATACTTAACCCAAAACTGACGGGCATTGCATGTACATATATGCCATCCCCACTGTGAGTTTACTTTATTAATTGTTGTTACACATAGATGGCTCTATTTATACTAAGTCACCAATGAGCCAATTACAAGTAGTACCTGTCTCACCTGTTTACTTTTTTCCTTGATTTTTTAAGATATTTTTTGTTATCTTGTATTGCGGTTATTAATGTCCGTAACATTATAGTAATTATAATATCTATTATAAAAATGACACCATCGATACTGATAGCATTAGTAAGAAAAAATGTATTTCCCACAAATTCAAGAAAAAGTAAAATCAGGTTGGCTAAGCACTTGCAGAGCTATCTATGTACCAAGCCATTTCACAAAGAACGGGCACGGCATTCTCCCAGTGACACTGGGTTACAGCTGTTGTCTTACCATACCCTGACACAAACAGTAGGGTGGATCATTTTCACACCTTTTTCTTGTATGTGAATTAAATGAGCCTTTAGGAGGGGAATCTGCATTAGCATGAGAATAGCATTGTGTAAAGAAATGGAATCTGAATTTGCACTTCTCCACTAAAGGGCTTTTATTTTTAAAATTCTTTCAAAAGGAGAAAGATGTATAAGTGTACAGACAAAAATGACAGATGTCTACCAGCAATTTTCATGTGATATGTCTTGAAATTTGTTGAACTATGTTTATTCACTTCTTTTATTTTTTCCTGTACCTGTTATAATGCACTAATGTATTGGTATTTGGTTATATAAGAATCTGGAATCTGGTAAGTCTAGTAATTGACCCTGAGGTTGTTTGCAATTTTCTATAGGAAAATATTTTATCAACTCACAATGGCATTATCAAATACTAAGTGCAACAAAATGAAGTGACTTTTCGGTCTAGTAAGTTTCAAGTTGAATATGAAATGGAGGAGAAGTTTTTTGTATATTTTGAATAAGGCTTCTATCCCAGTGATTAGTACATATGATTGAGGCATACAGTGATATATGTTAGGTAGTCATGGAGATCTACATTAAATACTTTGAAAGAAAATAAAATATGATGCATTGTTTTATTATCTTCAGTAGTTGTTTGACATAGCATAGGGAGCTCATAAGATGAGTCAATTTTACTTAAATGTGCTGTTGGTGCTCTTTCTTATTGGACAAGAGTGCAGTTTGTATCTGCATCACAAAAGATATCAGTATGACCACAAAAGAAAATAATGAGGTTATAGGAATAAAATCATGCTTGGTAGGAGGAAGATGCACACTTTTTAGTCAGCTAACATTGATGATATTGCATTATTTAGCTTACACTTTAAAGGGGAAAAAAACTAGAAGAGGCAACAACATTGTGAATAGCACATTACTTTGCTTAGTGAACCAGACCAGAACCAGAAGTATTTTATAAGGGATCTTGTAGAAAACAATCACAAAAATGATTATCCACTTATAAATTAAAAAAATGCATATGCAGAAAAAAACATTTCTCTCAGGTGGCATGTTGAGACCTCTCTTTGTCTGGTGTCAGTTCAGTTTGGTCAGAACTTTTGCTGATATCTCCCTTTGAATCCTTTGTGTACATAATTCAGCACAAAATTTAGTGGTCCGGGGTTTAGTGACACAATTTACAATAGGATGTAATTTGTAGATTTCTATTGTTTGACAGTTCATTCACTACTTCTGACATTTGTAGCTTGAACTTTTTTTAGATTTGGAAATCATAAAGTTAAGCAAAGATTAGCACAAAATTTGACACACAGGCAGAATCTCCTTAAGTTCCTAGTAGTGATGCTTATTATTGCTTCATTCGATTGGCATGTGGGACAACACCTATATACCGTATATATTGGCATGGCTAACTATTAGGCTAGATTGAGTAGTGGGCTTTGTAAGTATGAAATTTCAAAAATTTTAAATTTTAAACAAAAACAAATTTATTTTTTTATTGTTTCTAATGGTTTTTCATGTAGAATCTGAATTTCTGACATATAATGATCTAGCTATATCACACATACCATAAAAGTCTAGGTTCTTACATAGTACTTTTGGTTTGTGGTCCTAGGAACACAATTTACCCTTGGATACAGGTACTCTTTGGGGATATTTATCCCAAATGTTTTTAATTTCCTATTGTGCACTTTAGAATCTAAACCAATCATAGGCTGTTAGTGCTGTTCTCCCACATGTTACATCATCTGCCACTAACCTCATGCATGATCGGTGTCTATGTGAGGACTCTTGGTGTGGCTTCAAGAGAAATCCTGCTACCTACAAACACAGAAGGGGATCCCAAAAGCAGTTTTTGACTTTATTCAACCTGTTTTTGATGATCTTTGCTGATAATTTGCTTTCACAGTGTCTACGTGGCAAAACACAAAATAAGAAAGAATGTTTGAACAAAATCATATGGGACTAATGTAGCAAAGAATATTTTGTGGAAAAAGAAGTATTTGAGGAAGCTACATATATTGCAGTTAGTCATTTTAATGATGGAAGGAGCTCTATTTTGAATCTGTTTAAAAAATTGGGAATAGATCCTGGGAAGTTTACCATAGAACACTGCCATCAGCAAGATCAGCGCAGAGTCAGTAGATCACTGTCAAAGTTCACTAAACAAGGAAAAAAGAAGAAAAGTATTAGAGCCAAAAGGAAAGGATTCCAAGATAAGTTGAAAGAGTCTGAAGGCAATGTGTATGAAGCTGGTGGATACTAACTGTTAGTAAAACAGTTTTGAAAACAGATATCAGTAATATGTAGCTACCATTGAATTTTTTGGCACTAGTCATGAAATTCAATAATTTCACAATTCATATTATAATTTCAGATAAAATTTAAATTAGTTGATAGTTTTTGTCTTACAACAATTACCAGGTTGTTTTCTAGCTGATTTGTGACTGTAAGCATATTTGTAATCCATTTGGTAGTGTGGCACTGTTTTAAGCAAGACTTGTTTTTAACTGTTGTTGGCCATTTTGAATGCACCTCATTCAAAATGATGAGAAAAGTTAGGTTAGGACCTTTCTACCTTCAACAGCATCAAAAGTGGATAGACTAAAAAAATTTATATTTCTTCCCTCAGAGGTTCTCCCCATGCAGTCTGAGAGCAATCCGTGCTGTCTTAGTAGCTAAGTCCTCTCGCTGCTTCACTGAGCCAGAAGAGAGTTACTGTGGCAACCAGCGTGTAGAAGGCCAAGAGCAATGTGATGCAGGACTAGTAGGTCAGGATGATGTAGACTTGTGTTGTGACAAGCACTGCAAACTGAGGGATGGGGCAACCTGCAGTGATCGTAACTCGCCCTGCTGCCACGGCTGCCAGTACATGAGTCAGGGCGTAAAATGTAGGGAGCAACAGCCAGCTACATGCGAGAATGAGTCCAGGTGTCTCGGCACTACAGCAGTCTGCCCCAAAGCCAAACCCATGGATGATGGCACTCCATGCATTGAGAAGGGCCAGTGCCACCAGGGATCCTGCCTTCCCTACTGTGAGACACAGGAGATGCAGAGCTGCATGTGTGATACCAGTAAGCTAATGTTGTTAGTGATATCAGACTAGTAGCAAATGCCATTTTGTCCTCCAAGAACAGATTGCCTTTTTTATGAGACAACTTTTTATTTCCATTTTTTATTATTTTGTAAATTATGGTAGCAAAGTAATATATAAGAGGAACATCACACTTTTTTTTGAACTGTCCCATTTTGAACAGATGGAATATCTTTGTAGTAGTGAATCAAATTAGAAATATCTCATAGTTTGAAAAGCAGATAAGTAATAAACATTGGATTATTCACTAACATAATTGATGCTTTGCAGTTGATGACGCTTGTAAAAGGTGCTGTCGCAAGACACTAAATGACACCTGCTTCCCCGTCATGCCCTTGGATATTCTCCCAGATGGAACTCCTTGTATTCATGGGTTTTGTAACAAGGTAATTATTAAAAGAACACTTGATTTGCAGTAGAAAATTATTTTGAAGCTATAGATTTGTGAGAGGCTAAGTAAAAGAATGTTAAAATGGCTTCTTAAAGTCATTATTTGAGAGATGTTGCATTTTCCTGACAGAATTTCAAATTTGCAGGGGAAGTGTGAGAAGACGGTGCAGGATGTTGTAGAACGTTTCTGGGACATCATAGAGGACATTAATATTAACACTGTACTGATGTTCTTGCGGGACAATATTGTAGGGACAGTCATCATCATCTCTGTCATCATCTGGGTTCCAGCATCATGCATTTTCAGTTATGTTGATCGCCGTCGACAAGAGGACTACTGCAAATATGTCCGTTGGTATTATAGCAATGAGCTTATTCACCCAACTGACAGTGTTCGCATTATAGACAGCAAACGTACACGGATACATGAGCCTGGCCGTGTCCAAGAAGCAACTAACCGTGTGCTAGAGTCTGGTGGGCGTCCACACGACCCAGGGACACGAGCACACGACACGAGAGATCCTCCTGAAGGTGCAGAAAGCCGCCAGAATCTCAATACTCCTCAATGCCCTCCAGTGTCACAGCACTACACAAGTGCCATGTAGTTGTGTGACTGTGGATTTCGTTTGGAGAAATGGTGATATTATTTTTTAATCCAGAAGAATTCTTTTGGAAAGAATGTAGGACTTTCATGTGACTGCCAATTTTACACTTTTAGATTTAACAGTTCCTGGAGTAGTCCATATCAAATCAGTCCTTTTTGATAAAGCTGTATATACAAAAAGCATTTGAGAACAGTAGTCACAATCTGAAGAATCAGCAAGACCCAGATATTTTCTAACTTTTGAAAATTGATAGACATTCAGTGTAGATTAGTGGGCAGCACCAACAGCTAACACACATGATCATCCATTGTGCTGAAGTAGCTGACAGCAGTGTAGATGATAAGTAGAAGGGCATTAGGTCACTATCAGGGATCTCATAGTAGCTTGGAGTTTGGAGCATGGAGTGAACCATGTCATTGTGGAAATGTTTGTTAAAGTATTTTGTTCATGGTTACTACCAGTATTTATAATGATCGTGCAAACCAAAGTTTCACTCACTTCATTGATCTCAGTATTTACTAAGGAATCAATATTTTTTACACCAATTTAAAGTTACATAAACCAATATATACTTATAAAAAGATAACTTATTAATGCCAAATATTTTACTTCAGAAACATTGTAACACAAGCACACACCTAGATAGATAAATAAAAAGATAACTTATTAATGCCAAATATTTTACTTCAGAAACATTGTAACACAAGCACACACCTAGATAGATAAATAAAAAGATAACTTATTAATGACAAATAGTTTACTTCAGAAACATTGTAACACTAGCACACACCTAGACATTTCATAATAACATTCCAGATATTCTAAGTATTAAGGCATATTAACTCATATTTCAGGAATTTCTGCGGTTGTGACATTTCTTTAATTTGTTAGAAAATCTTTTAGAAAATTTGTTTGGAATGAAATTATGTGGAATACAACTAGTTACGAAACTTTATCTTTATTGCCATTTGGCGATGTCATTTGTTTCTTGGTAGAATTATTAAAAGATGTTAAGGTGAGCTTTTATCCATTATTAAGATAATATGTAACATATGTAGACATCTTCAGCTAAGAGGCAGTTACAGTAATTATAGGATTTAAGTTGATGTAATTCTAGGGTTTATTGTTTGATATTTATGTATCAGAATTGTAAATGAGATTTTCAATTTGAAAATATTGAATATTTGATTTTGTAATTGTATGAAACTAATAACATTCTTTACTGATTGGTGATGAGAGATATGCTATCACATAATGGCAAATAATTATAGACTATAGGATGACACCTCATTGTATCATAAGTCAGTATTCCAATCACCAAGATGAGGTCGTGAACCTTCCTGTGACAGGCAATCGCCCAAGCGCAGAATGGCGCACAGGAATGTATTCCCGTCCTTGCATGACATTGCCCATTCTGTAAGTTTAATGCATCTAAAGACTAATAGATGCTATATGTGTTTTAAGTAGTATCCCTGTAGTTAAGTTTTTGCCATTTAGACTAATGTTCTGTCCTAGAAAAGGTCCATCAATGGAAGTCTTGCAGTGTACATAATTCATAACCTTTCAGTGGACATATTCTCTAAGTACCCTTTTCTTTTAAATCAGTATTCTCATCTTCTTTATAAAAATCATATTAATTGTCCAGTTGTACTTGGCTTGAAGACATCTTTGCCTTACAGTATTGGCCATCATGGTAGGATTAATTAATATATGATCATTTATGTTAATAGTGTAACATTTTGCTTGATTATGTTATCAGTGTGACAGATCACAATGGCAATAAGATATGCAGTACTCCTCAGAACTGTGAGTAGAGAATGTGTTAAAGTATGAAGTGACAAGAATTTCCTAACAATGGAGAAGGGACACTTGCCAATGTACTATTGGAATTCCTAGAGCATTGTTTTTTTTTCTTTCCCCCACCAAGTATAATAAAGTCTGCTAAAAAATACTGAAAATATACTCATTTAGTCTTTTTATATTTGCATTTTGTTTTTTATATAATATAAACATAATTTGAAGCTTTACATAATTTTAAATACCACCTTCCATTCTGAGGACAGTTTATGAAACTGACAAATATAGAAAAAAAAAATTCCAATAGTATTCATTTTTCTTAGATATAATTTCCTACACTCTGCTTTTCGTATTTGTGCTGGAAAAGAGGCAGCCATCTACTCTGCTTAAAAACTTCTTCAGTCTACCCTGATTCAGAAAAGTGCAGCAGAAAAGGATATAGAACAAAATGTATACTCTTTCAAATTACAGACTTTACACTTGAATCCCCCCTAGTCTGATGCCCATTGTTGTCATAGGGGGAGGGGGATGCCATTCTAAATCCAGACACTCCACTGCAGCCCCCAACACCTTCCCCTCTCCCTCCCCGCACTACCCGCAGCAGACAGACTAAACATTCCACCCCTTCTCCAATCACACTCATCTCCACCTACCTTTGCCTCTACTCCTCAAACACCAGTCTCCTCTTCCCCCCCCCCCCCTCCCTTCCAAGATGTTCCTACACCGTCCCCTATACCTATCCCTCCTACATCTTACTTCCCCACTTCTACCTCCTACCTTCCCCAGTCAAATTCTTTTGCCATTCTAAATCCAGACACTCCACTGCAGCCCCCAACACCTTCCCCTCTCCCTCCCCGCACTACCCGCAGCAGACAGACTAAACATTCCACCCCTTCTCCAATCACACTCATCTCCACCTACCTTTGCCTCTACTCCTCAAACACCAGTCTCCTCTTCCCCCCCCCCCCCTCCCTTCCAAGATGTTCCTACACCGTCCCCTATACCTATCCCTCCTACATCTTACTTCCCCACTTCTACCTCCTACCTTCCCCAGTCAAATTCTTTTGCCATTCTAAATCCAGACACTCCACTGCAGCCCCCAACACCTTCCCCTCTCCCTCCCCGCACTACCCGCAGCAGACAGACTAAACATTCCACCCCTTCTCCAATCACACTCATCTCCACCTACCTTTGCCTCTACTCCTCAAACACCAGTCTCCTCTTCCCCCCCCCCCCCTCCCTTCCAAGATGTTCCTACACCGTCCCCTATACCTATCCCTCCTACATCTTACTTCCCCACTTCTACCTCCTACCTTCCCCAGTCAAATTCTTTTGCCATTCTAAATCCAGACACTCCACTGCAGCCCCCAACACCTTCCCCTCTCCCTCCCCGCACTACCCGCAGCAGACAGACTAAACATTCCACCCCTTCTCCAATCACACTCATCTCCACCTACCTTTGCCTCTACTCCTCAAACACCAGTCTCCTCTTCCCCCCCCCCCCCTCCCTTCCAAGATGTTCCTACACCGTCCCCTATACCTATCCCTCCTACATCTTACTTCCCCACTTCTACCTCCTACCTTCCCCAGTCAAATTCTTTGCCATTCTAAATCCAGACACTCCACTGCAGCCCCCAACACCTTCCCCTCTCCCTCCCCGCACTACCCGCAGCAGACAAACTAAACATTCCACCCCTTCTCCAATCACACTCATCTCCACCTACCTTTGCCTCTACTCCTCAAACACCAGTCTCCTCTTCCCCCCCCCCCCCTCCCTTCCAAGATGTTCCTACACCGTCCCCTATACCTATCCCTCCTACATCTTACTTCCCCACTTCTACCTCCTACCTTCCCCAGTCAAATTCTTTTGCCATTCTAAATCCAGACACTCCACTGCAGCCCCCAACACCTTCCCCTCTCCCTCCCCGCACTACCCGCAGCAGACAGACTAAACATTCCACCCCTTCTCCAATCACACTCATCTCCACCTACCTTTGCCTCTACTCCTCAAACACCAGTCTCCTCTTCCCCCCCCCCCCCTCCCTTCCAAGATGTTCCTACACCGTCCCCTATACCTATCCCTCCTACATCTTACTTCCCCACTTCTACCTCCTACCTTCCCCAGTCAAATTCTTTTGCCATTCTAAATCCAGACACTCCACTGCAGCCCCCAACACCTTCCCCTCTCCCTCCCCGCACTACCCGCAGCAGACAGACTAAACATTCCACCCCTTCTCCAATCACACTCATCTCCACCTACCTTTGCCTCTACTCCTCAAACACCAGTCTCCTCTTCCCCCCCCCCCCCTCCCTTCCAAGATGTTCCTACACCGTCCCCTATACCTATCCCTCCTACATCTTACTTCCCCACTTCTACCTCCTACCTTCCCCAGTCAAATTCTTTTGCCATTCTAAATCCAGACACTCCACTGCAGCCCCCAACACCTTCCCCTCTCCCTCCCCGCACTACCCGCAGCAGACAGACTAAACATTCCACCCCTTCTCCAATCACACTCATCTCCACCTACCTTTGCCTCTACTCCTCAAACACCAGTCTCCTCTTCCCCCCCCCCCCCTCCCTTCCAAGATGTTCCTACACCGTCCCCTATACCTATCCCTCCTACATCTTACTTCCCCACTTCTACCTCCTACCTTCCCCAGTCAAATTCTTTTGCCATTCTAAATCCAGACACTCCACTGCAGCCCCCAACACCTTCCCCTCTCCCTCCCCGCACTACCCGCAGCAGACAGACTAAACATTCCACCCCTTCTCCAATCACACTCATCTCCACCTACCTTTGCCTCTACTCCTCAAACACCAGTCTCCTCTTCCCCCCCCCCCCCTCCCTTCCAAGATGTTCCTACACCGTCCCCTATACCTATCCCTCCTACATCTTACTTCCCCACTTCTACCTCCTACCTTCCCCAGTCAAATTCTTTTGCCATTCTAAATCCAGACACTCCACTGCAGCCCCCAACACCTTCCCCTCTCCCTCCCCGCACTACCCGCAGCAGACAGACTAAACATTCCACCCCTTCTCCAATCACACTCATCTCCACCTACCTTTGCCTCTACTCCTCAAACACCAGTCTCCTCTTCCCCCCCCCCCCCTCCCTCCCAAGATGCTCCTACACCCTCCCCTATAGCTATCCCTCCTACATCTTACTTCCCCACTTCTACCTCCTACCTTCCCAGTCAAATTCTTTTGCCATCCTAAATCCAGACACTCCACTGCAGCCCCCAACACCTTCCCCTCTCCCTCCCCGCACTACCCGCAGCAGACAGACTAAACATTCCACCCCTTCTCCAATCACACTCATCTCCACCTACCTTTGCCTCTACTCCTCAAACACCAGTCTCCTCTTCCCCCCCCCCCCCTCCCTTCCAAGATGTTCCTACACCGTCCCCTATACCTATCCCTCCTACATCTTACTTCCCCACTTCTACCTCCTACCTTCCCCAGTCAAATTCTTTTGCCATTCTAAATCCAGACACTCCACTGCAGCCCCCAACACCTTCCCCTCTCCCTCCCCGCACTACCCGCAGCAGACAGACTAAACATTCCACCCCTTCTCCAATCACACTCATCTCCACCTACCTTTGCCTCTACTCCTCAAACACCAGTCTCCTCTTCCCCCCCCCCCCTCATAAGAAAACCTATCAACTCGAGTTCCAAACTGACACCAAAACCCCTCATCCACCCTCAAATTCCACAACTCCTGCTCCCTCCACACTTAAAGTGACTGGTGATATCCATCCTCCTATTATTCATATTCCCCCTACACTCCTTCCTCCTACTCCCTCCCAACACAGCCATTCTCCCCAACTCTAGCTCCACCTACATTAACCCTCCCTCCATCCCCTCTATCCCTTCCACTCCCTCCCGGATACACACATGAATCCCTTATGTCACAACTATGCCCTTCCCCAGATCCTCCATCTCCTGATACATCCTCCTATACCAATTCCCAATTACCATTTTGTCTTTTCCTCACACTCCCTTTTATGCCTCGTCTATACTTATTCATCAGAAAGCACTTTATATCATACCTCCCTCCCTTGCACAGTTATTCGCATCTGTTTCCGCCAAGGGGTCACAGTAATTTCAGTCTTCTTCTCCCCTTCCCATCCAATTGACTTTGTTGCCTTTGAAACTAATTTCCCAACTCCAATAACTCCTTATAGTTGGTGATTTTAACTGCCGCGACACTCTTTGGGGTGTTTCTATCACCAACTCCCGTGGCCGATCTCTAGAACGATTCCTCTGCACAACTGACCTTACTACTCTTGATTCAGAATAATAAAGTTACACTTTGACATACGCACGCAATCTTTTTCATGCCTTGACCTCTCTCTATGCTTCCCTTCTCTTCATTTAGATTTCCATTGGTCAGTTCTAGACCACTTTCCAGTTCTCCTTTCTCCTATTTCATATGTACCACTTCCTAACTCCCCACGCTGGTGCTCTGATAGAGCCGACTGGCGGACTTTCACTTCACTCTCTGCTATTCCTACACCCCCATCCCCCTTCTCGTCCATTTCAGATGTGGTACATTGTTTCACACTACAGTCCTAAAAGCTTCCTATACAGCCATTCCTCGAACCTCAAGACCTTATACCTCCGTGTTCCATGGCAGAATTCCGATTACACTAAAGCGCTTCACTTGAAACTGTTTTCACTTCAAACAGTTACCGCTACAAACGAGGCACCCCTAATCAACTATCAGCTCTTATCTCCTTTAAAAGAGCATCTGCTTATCTCCGTCGTACAACAAGTAGCTGACGAAATTATGTTTCCTCAATTACATCTACATCTATTTCAACTGTTTGGCGCCGTATCCATAAGCTATCAAGGCAAACATCCCCCTAATCTAGCCCCATCCTCTATATTCGAGATACTCTCATCTCTGATTTTCTCCAAGTCGCTAATGAACTGGGTGACTATTTCAGCCAGGTCAGTAGTGGCTCTCGCCTTTCTCCACACTTCTCTTTTATTAAGACCATCAGGGAAGCCACCCCATTGTCTTCACCCTATCCTCTGCTGAGACCTATAATGCTCCTTTTTCTTCCTTTAAACTCAATGCTGCCTCACAGGTGTGTCGCAACACTCATGAAGGCCCTGACAGTATTCACTTCCGTATGCTCCGACACCTTCCATCTTTCTCTCTATCTTTCCTATTAACAATTTTCAACCACATATGGACGTCAGGAAATTTTCCTTCTCTTTGGCGAGAAGCTTTAATCCTCCCCTTTCTGAAACCCAATAAATCGGGTACCCTCTCACAAGATTACCCCCCCCACAAGTTTGCTTGTGCAAACTATCAGAGCGAAAGGTAAACTACCGCTTAATGTGGTATCTTGAATCTCACAATCTTCTCACTCCTTCCCAGTTTGGTTTCCACTGTGCCCAAAGTACAGTTGACTCCTTGTTCATTTCGAGA